ATGGATTTCACCTGCGAACATTTGCTGAACAATGGTAATGACAATTACTATAGCAAATAACTATAAAGTTAATAATCATGCAAATTCTATAAGAATATTAAAGTCCACACCACAATTAGAACAATAATGACACAGAGTAGCAATATTGTTGGAATCATTTTCAGAGTTTTTTTTTTCCCCAGCTGATGAACTTTAAAACCACAGACAGCCAATCAGAGGTGCATTTCCCAAAAGCATTGTAAGCTAACTATGGTCGTAAGTTCCATTGAACTCTATTAGAAACAATAGAACTTGTGATCATAGTTGCTTTTTGGGAAATGCACCCCTGCACTCTTATAATAGCCTAAACAGAACATCATCATGCTTTGGTGTTATAGTTATCTTTCTTGGGGCTTTACCGGCATAAATAATTTCCAACATTTTAAATGTAACTGACAGCACTGACATCAAACTGACTTGTAATCAGTCCATTTAATCATTTCTAGCCGCTCTTACATTCTTTTATGTGACTGAAAGCAAGATGTGTGCTGAGTATTGTGTCACTGTCTACTTCGTGTTCTTGCTGGATTGACTTACCAGTTGTTGACTTGGAGTAAAGTCAGGTTTGTTTGAATTGCAAGTTGCTTTTTCTCTTCCTCAGTGGGATAGGGGTGCTACATAAAGAAGGTGAACAGTGAAGTGTTCATTCATTTATATCAGGTAAAACAAAACGGCAACGACTGACTTTAAACATGTGTTTGCCAACTAACCGCAATGTGCTGGAAGAGCCAGGAGCGCATGACATTGGTAGCCTGTTTGGGAAGAACACTACGCTTGTTTTTAGGTGAGCTGTCATCTCCCCCAAAGAAACTCAAGTCCTGATTGAGCTGAAGCTGGAGCTGCAGGAAGTACAAGGAGTCAATGATCAGTGAGTCTGCTTGTGATCTCTGTGTAAAAATGTTTGTGTGTGCTCCGCTGGAGTGTCATGCACACCTGTGAGTTCTGGATGTGTATTGTTCCAGGTGAGATGGCTTGTGTCACCACTTGCCCCTGTGGTGTGACTACCGTCACTGGCTGATATACTGTATTACCTGCACAAAACAAGATTTTGTATTTTCTTTCCCCCCAGAGGAGCCATCATTTCAACCAAATAGCCAATGTTGCCAATTAGATTCAAAATGTTCACATATAATTAACAAATACATGATAAATGCCATGAGAAAACTAAGAGTTTTTTTTAAAAAAATGGAAACTTCTAAAATGATTTAAAACAGTGAATCAACTTTTTTTAACAAAACTTTAAAGGGATCCTATTATGCTTTTTCACTTTTTAAACTTTAGTTAGTCCGTAATGTTGCTGTTTGAGCATAAAAAAGACACAAAAGCTCAACAAAGCTCAAAGTCCAATTTAAAAGAAACAAAGCTCAAAGTCCAATTCAAAGGGAGATATTTTATTTAACAGAAATCACTTTTCAAAAACTACAACGAACGACTCATTTGGACTACAACGCATATTTTCCAGGATTTGTGATATCACAAATATCGACGAAAGGTACGAGACCTGGTTGAGCTGCACTAGAGAAGGCAACGAGTGTTATCACTATGTCAGAGACACGTTAGCTTTCCCAAGGCAGACTAATTTAGAGTGGTTACAATCATCTGGGTTTAAATCGCACTCAAATTTATTTTATATTGACGCAATATTTACACTGAAGACCCTTCATTTGATACAGGAACTATTCGAGCCATTCATGCCAGACTGAGAGAGAGGTGTTGTAATAATGTAAAATATGTGAAAAATAATGTGTTTTTCGAACAACCTAGCATGAGAGCACGTTCTAGTACACCCCCAAAACAAAATCAAGACTTTGTAAAAGAGCATAATAGGACCCCTTTAAAGCCACCCACTAGCACCAACATTCACATACGATTGTCGCATTTCCCGTCTAGCGGCAGTCGCACAGAACTTTCAAATTGCTCTTGAAGCAGCCGTTCATTACCAACACAAAAAAAAAGACAATCATACTAAAGAAAATAGAAGTAAATATTAACTTAATTATAAAATAATTATTTCCGATATAATTATTCATACTCATTTTACAGAATAACATTGACATAGAAATATTGTTTATTTTCACCTTGTGCTCAGAGTTTTTTTTAGACTATATCCCAATCCAGTCAGGTGGTTGCATACAAACTATCTGCAAAAGTTCAAATATGCCATATATGCATATGATTGTAACTCCTCGCAGCTCCCAATGTAACTAATGACAGATGAACATGTACCTGCGACCACTTGTGATGGATTGACTGCGGTCACTGTAATATTGCCTTGAAGACCTTGTGAGGGCACCACAATGCCCTGGGGACTGAGGGCAGCTGAGAAAGAGTTGGACAACTGCAAAAGAATCAATCAATTAAACACTACATCAGTGTACTCGCTGTGAGTGTCAGTGTCTATAATTCAAGGAAAACAGCCTTTACTTGGTCATGGCCCACATATACATACACATACACGTTTTTATTTTATGAATTTTTTATTTTTTTTTGTAAGTCTACCAGGGTTGGGATGGGTCCTAAATTTACACAGTTGCTGTTTGTTTTATATTACTATTCCCAGAAGAAAATTCAATAAACAGTTGTTAACAAAAAAAAATCGAATTAAATGATCAACCATAAATAAAATTGATTAAAAAAAAATGATCAATCCTGTCAACATTATAGTGAGTATAACATTATATATGAGTAACGGGACACCAAAGTGTGCGGTTCTCATGAAAAGTGGCAAATAAATATTTAACATTATTTTTGTATATACATCACTGCTACCTGCTGATCTCCCTCTTGATATTCGTCTATGGACACAGAACGGGCAGCCATCATATTCAAAGTGGCCACTGCCAACACTGGGGCATTATATGGGCAGGCAGCAGGAAACGACCTAAAAGTAACCACATGCAACTTTAAATAATTTTTTTTTAAAAAGGCTTTAGACAGAAACAACATTATAGAAGTTGGTCAAAACTCCCGTGTAAACCACTTTTGATCTTCACCAACATGAAGATACGGGTTTCTTTCTTTCGTATCTGTCATATGCAGCTAATAAAAGGGGGAATGCATGGAGTAAACCTGCAAAGGGAAGCCTGCCCTGGATGTATTGATATGTAAAACCAGTGTTATGTACTGCATGCTTTCCAACACACTTTATTCACACTAGCACGAGTACTTCAATATTTCTCATGCCTTGCGCTAACTTCACATAACGGCAAGACCGTTTAAGCCAATCTCAGCAAGAAGCAATTTGTTAATTTCGCTTACAGACAAAAAAACAAGTCTAGCTAAAGCGTTGCTGGTGTAAAACACGACATGTGAAGCACTAAACCGCGACGCGTTTCAGTCAGTCGGCGCTTATCAGCTCGGGTAGCCATCGACTTTGAAGAGCAAGGAAACACACAGGTAAGGCCTAAGTGTTCGGGTTATGTGGACTGAGGAGTAACGCAGCAGCGGGTGCTGAGGTAGCAAACACATGCTCCCCTGTAACCAGCGAGCAGAGCGTTAGCAGTGCATTAGTATTAGCCCGCTAGCAGCACAGCTAATCCTTCACGTTTGCGGCACATGAGCGCGGTCCTCGACGTAAATGCAATTTAAAGGACGTTGGCGTGCACTTTTAATTACTGTTTGTTAAAAACAACAACTCTAGAGCGATTAATTGAGGCCGGAGGCCGGAGCCCGTCGTCTAGCGTTCCTCCGGCCTGACTGAGAGCGGCTCAACCGGGCCTTCACTCAGCGCTCGCGCTCGCTAGAATCAAACCTCCTGTCCTTTAAAAAGCCGACATATTTTTCCCTCCTTCGAGGTTTTTAGGACAAGACTGGCTCGACTGTCCCACGCAAGTCCCGTGAGCCGCTAGCAGCGTATGCTCTGTTTCCCCCGGCCCCGGGCATCTGTGTGTGTCGCTCGGATTGTGTGATTGATAGGAGCGGAAAAGACGAGTTTGAGTGACAGCTTACCTGGGTGCCAATCTTCGTCACACTGACAAGCGGCTGCAGCAATCGGGATCCGCATTACGCGCTGCGTCATCACGCAAGGGGACGCAGCGCTTCAGCTCATGAATAATTACGCAGAGGGAGGAGCAGTGGCTCGCCCTCGCCGAATATTGTAAACACTCCCCGTTTTAGGAGGACAGGGACAGTTAGTTTTAAAATCTGTGCCATTTAAGTGCAATTTAGTTGTTTGATGTTCTGCGCCAAAATGTCTTTTCTCAAAAATGTCACAATTTCCTTCAGGTTTGTCTACATTTTAAATAACTTTTTGAATTCATTCGTTCATTTCGAAGGATCTTGCAGTGTGGAAATAATTCTTGAAAGTACAGAAATTCCATTTAGTTGCTATGGAAGCTTGTTTCCACCACGGGATGGATGGATAAAAAATAATTCTACTTTTAGCTCACAATTCAGACTTTTCCCTTGCAATTTGTAGGGGGAAAAAAGTCAGAACTTACACGTCTGAGAAGAAAAGGCAGAATTGTGAGATATTAACTTTCAGTTGCGAGTAAAAAAGAATTGACATAAAAAGTCACGTTTACCATTTCATTTTTAATTATGTGGTGGAAACAAAAGAGAGATGTTAAGATGTAAACTCAGAATTCGGAGGAAAAAAGTCTGAGCTGTGAGAAAACCTAACCCTAAGTGTAAAAAAAAAAGCTGCGTCCCAAATGAAGCGGTATGCACTTATACACTGTTCTTATGATACACTGTTAAGTGCATCATCCGGGTATTTAAAGTGCACTTTTCTATTTGGAATTTTCAGTGTGAACGCACTACTCGCACTATTTATACTACAAAATACTACAAAGTGGCATAGAATAGTGCATAAGTATGTGAATTGGGACGCACCTTCAGAAGCCTGATTGTGAGATGAAAAGTCAAAATAACCTTTTTTTATTTTTTTTTTATTAATTCCATGGTGGAAACTAATAATTAACATAAGACAGAAGTTAGTCATAAAACATTAGAAATGAGGTCATTTCGAAATGGTTGGAACTGGATCATGTTAGTCTCACATTTGAATTAATGTAGGAAATACAGCGTTTCAACCATTTGCCAATTTAATGTTAGAAGTACACTACCCTCCTTTATTAATAAAGTCAAGGCAAGCGTAGTCTCATTAGAATAAAGTGTCAATTGAGATGAACACCATTCAAATACTGTAGAAGACAACAGCAACAAATAACTTTAGATATACTCGGTCTCAGCGAAATCATTTTATTTCCATAATTATAGAATTCTAGCATAAAGCTTGCGATTTGCCAGTAAATCATCTGAGGAACAATGAACATGGGGAAGAAACAGGGTTGTGTACAAAGGTAGCAATACCACAGGCTCAGTGTCCGGGTGAGGATCGGCCTGAGGAAGGCTGGGGCAGACGGTATTTAGACAGATCTACATCCACATCAGCAAAGGTGTACATGTTGTAGAGGTGGTGCTGCAGGTTCTTGTACGTGGTGTTGTCAAAGGGTTCAGGCTCTGGCTCTGGGGCTTGTTCTGAGGAAATCAATAATGTACGAGATTAAATGCAAGACATGTGGAACTGGGAAAAAAATAATCACACAAAATGCATCCGACAGCAACTGAAAGACAAGAAGTTGTTTCAGGAAAAAAGCCCAAACAATGAGTACCGTGCCCAAGGAACAAGTGAATGAACATTTCTTTTAGATTGGAAGATAATCTTGAATGAAAATATTTGCGCAAGGAGAAATCAAAGTAAAAATTCATGCTGAGTAAGTTTTTTACAAAGTGATCATAGAAGGAAGAACCGAGGAAGAGTCTTCCTGTTAATTCCTCACTCTTCAAAAGGATTTCGGATTTGAATCTTCACACTTTGATGGTGTTACAGTAATCACTTTCAATCCACAGGTGGTCCTTTACATAAAAGGTGTGAGGGGCCTCTAGCTTTTTACCTAGACTACAGACGTCTGACTAATTAATCATTTTCCATTTCACCCACTACAGCTCAAGTCAATCAAACTTTAAAATAAACCAGATGCTTCTAAAGACAGGATCTTTCCACATTACTCTATTATTTTGCTCAGTTTTTACCATAAATGTTATAAAACAACATTATATCACCCAATAGTTGTAATAAAACACTTAAGAGCTACAGCATAACTACACAAACTGATAAATCAGTTTAAAAACTCTAGATCTACAGTACTATTTTGAAATGAGTTATACTACAAAGCAGAAGTAAGATGAAGTATTAATAGAAGCCATTTTAAACCTTAACCAAAGGAACAATCAGTCCAGGTAGATGCATCCATTTGCAGTCATGCAAATAGGTAAAAAAAGAACTTAATAAGAAAAGCAAATGTAATGCAAATGCATAATGAAGATTAAAAGTTGCAAAGCCATTTGAGCAAAGCCTTTGTGCAAAAGCAATCCCACTGCTGCCATGAAAAGGTTTTAGTGTTAAATAAATGGTAAGAGAAATGTGTTTCTGTGATGTGACGGATCCAGAGAAAGAAACTGAGTAAGGATGTGTGGTGTACCCTTAGGTGTTTCCATAACATTCGTCTCAGCCCGAGCGTCTACAGCATCAGCGGCCGGCCACAGGTGCAGGGTCTACCAGCTCTTCTGAAGGGGCTGCCGGCGTTCCTGCCTCAGCTTTGGATGATGCATCCTCAGGCTTAGCTGCAACATCTCCAGGAGCCTCAGGAGCTGCTCCATGACTAGCTTCAACAGCGGTTTTGGCTACTTCTTCAGGACTAGGTTCTGTAGGGGCTTCTGGGACAACTTCTGCAGAAACTTTGACAGCATCTTCAGCTTTGATTTCTGGTTCCTTTTCAACAACAATCTCCTCCGTAAACGCCTTTTTAACATCTGTTGCGGTGTCCACTCTCTTGTCAGGAGTGTCAGCTGTAATTGATTCACTGGACACTTCTGGAATTGCTTCAGTTGTGGAGGGAGATAATATAGGGGCAGGATCAATAAGGGTCTCATCCAATTCGTCTGGTTTAGCACTTGGTGCAGGACCCTCGTCTGGTTTTGCTTTAGTCACAGTTTCAGCATTTTCTTGAGCTTCTCCAACTGAGGCAGATTCAGGCTTTGCTTCCTTATCTGCAACAGCTACTTCAATCGTCAGACCAGGAGATTTCTTCTGTGCTGCTTTCTCTCCAGACTCGACTGGTGTTTCAGTCTTTGGCTTCTCATCATCAGAATCAGAGTCTGAATCAGAATCACTGGAGGATGAGGATGAAGAAGAGCTATCGTCTTCATCTTTCTGGCCTTCTGGCTCAACATCTGAGGCCTTACTTGCTTCACTTCCTGTAGTGACTTCAATAGTAGGAGGGACTTCAGTGATCTCTTCAGCTGCTGCCGTATCAGCAACTTGACTGCCAGCTGTCGTCTCATTTGCAGCAGCTGTGGACACAGCCTCAGTGGTTTCAGACTCACCTAAAGCTATGTCTTTGGGAAGAAATCCTGTGGCAGACAGCTTAGAAGGGAAGGCAACTGCGGGCTTGTAGGCTAGAAGAGAAGCCCTCTCATCGGCCTCTATGGCTGAGGAAATGGCAAATGGGATAAATTACATGAGATTGTTTTTAGTTTATTACATTTGAGAAACCCTCCTGTTCAATGTAACCATTAAACCCAGCAAACACCACAAGAAAACCTTGCACACCCTGTCAAAGTCCCTTGCCTGAATGTGGAAAGACCAAAATATGTTTGCTTTGCGCTTCAATAAAATAATTCATATCACTAATAAAGTCTTGCAAAAATGTAGACTGTAGAAAGAATGCAGAAAACAGGCTAAAACTGCATTTTTCAGGCTAGTCCATCTAATGAGCAATATTGCTAGTCCATTGTTGAGCAATAATTTAATTTAAAGTGTCTTTAAGTCCTTGTCTGTAATTCTAGAAGCCACCTACACAAACGTTAAGATGTTTGGGGTATGTTTTTTTTTCTAAAAAGAAATGAATACTTTTGTTCTGCAAGAATGATCAAATGTGATGGTAAAGACGTGTGCGATGTTACAAAATTTCTTATTTCATCATTCCACTCATCAAAGAATCCTGAAAATATTAAGCAGAGTAACTATAGACTGGAGTAAATGCTGCTGAAAATTCAGCTTTACCATCACAGAAATAAATACAATTTTATAATATATTAAAAAAAGTGTTCTTAAATTGTTATAATATTTCAGAATATTACCTTTTACTGTATTTTGATCAAATAAATGAGCTTAAAAGAGTGAGCATAAGAAACTTATTTCAAAAGCATAAAAAAAAAATCTTACCAGACCCAAACTTTTGTAGTAGTGCATATTCTAGTGTACTACTAAAAGATGAAATAATTATCTTTTACCAAATATACAGTTTTAAAATGTACAAATAATTCCAAGAAACATACCTATATCATCTTGCATTCAAGGGCGTATACAAATTTTGCATGTCCAATACAATGCTCTCTTGAATGACAATGTGTCCCTTTCCCTAAATTATAAATACCTGCCATCACAGACTAGTAACAAATCAAGGCTGTGACAAAAAAAAAAAAGAAAAAGAAAAAAAAAGGAATGTGTCCTGCACCAAACAAATTCCTTAAAATCATTACTTTACACATTAAACGTACAACAGAATTGTCTGTAAAAATGTCACCTTCAATAGTAAAAGCATCGATGAATCCCTTCACCAAAGATAGTCATCTTTTGAGGAAATTTGTGTACTTTTAAAAGCTACAATGCTCTCTTGAATGACAATGTGTCCCTTTCCCTAAATTATAAATACCTGCCATCACAGACTAGTAACAAATCAAGGCTGTGACAAAAAAAAAAAGAAAAAGTAAAAAAAGGACAAGCTCTTCAATATGTCCTGCACCAAACAAATTCATTAAAATCATTACTTTACACATTAAATGTACTACAGAATTGTCTGTAAAAATGTCACCTTCAATAGTAAAAGCATCGATGAATCCCTTCACCAAAGATAGTCATCTTTTGAGGAAATTTGTGTACTTTTAAAAGCAATTAATATAACTGCATGGGCTCACATTGTATGTCCTCAACAAGTTCAGCCAAAAGTAAATGATGCTTTTGAAAGCACATGTCTTTGGAAAGCATGAGGGTGAAAGGATGGGATCTAGTGATCTAATCCAGAGGCTAAGGGCCTGTCCAAAAACACACACTTATGGTCTTGGCCACTTGAGAGCATGTGCAGGTGACAGGAAGTAAGTGCGCAGGACTGTCCCAAGTCTAAAAAATGCCAAAAGCTCAGTGCCCTTAATGCACACCAAACCCACACTATACTTAATACCAACATTCGTCATGGTCAGGAACTCAAATGCCCCAAAATCTTGAGAAAATGAGAAAAACTTTACAGTGTCAGTTAAATTAACTGGGTATTACATATAACTTGGTAGCAAAACATAAAAGTGTTGCTGCTGTTGCACATTGCATTGGTGCAGAAATGAGTACGTGTAGTTTGCAAAATGTTTGCATTTATGACTGCCTTTCTTCAGTAGAACATAAAAGACTATATTTTGAAGAATGTCCATAACCAAACTGGTACCTGTTTTGGTATTTTTTTCCATACAACAGAAGTCAATGGGAATCGAAACTGCTTGGTTACCAATATATTTTATTTTGGGTGAAATGACACGAGGGTGAGTAAATGATGACATAATTTTTGGGTGACCTATCCCTTTAATTAGAAGCATCACAATCCAAATTTGTCTCGTCTGTTACATATAAGGATATTTGAACAGACATTCATTAGTTTATTTTGCAAAATATAGATCAAAATGTGCAAATATAGCTCTGTAAAACGTGACTTGCATTTTTACAACACTATGCTGTAAGTCTGTCTCATCAGCTAATCGCATGTTTTACACACCCTTGCAGTCATCACGCCCACTTGAACACTTGGGCTAAATACAGGAAATACGTCATGTAACTACACTCATGTAAGTACAAAGACAACAAGTGTGGGTATTGAGACAGGCCCTAAGAATGGCAAAAGGTGCAAAATGGCTAAAATCACCTACAGCACCTCAAAGCACAAATATTAATAATTAGACACATAATCATGCTGTTTATAGCATTCATGCTATAGTATAGTATGTGAACATCACACAAACAGGACATTAAGGATGTATGGAAAGAAAAAGCATGCCCTTACTCTTACTTGAAGCCTTTGCCTTCTTATCTCTGCCCCAGCTTAGAAAATGAATATAGCCTTGAATGAGTAACTTGAGTCTACTTTTCTCCTGTGATATTGTGGAGAAGCAATTAGGGGTGTCACTGTTTCTAAAGATAGTGTTCTGTTGTCACAGTTTTGGTACAGTTTAGTAAAAAAGAATTTCCAACCCATTGGATTTTAAGTAAGGTAATTCACTTAAACTTGATCTAAAAGTAGATGCCTCATTGCTGCAGGATAAACTGCATCAGTAATACAGAGAATTAAAGTTTTATACACATTTATATTTCAAGGGCTTTGTTCGGTTGTTGTTTTTATGAACCGTTTCACCCCTAAATGCTCTTTGCATGTATGCTATGAACTAACACATATGCAATGACAAAAGCTAATGACACATTGTAATATATCTGTAACTGTATACAAAAGGGTAAATGCATTGTAATAATATCTTTACCATTAGCATTACAAATTTGCATATAAACCTGTAACCGAAAAAACTGCTGTCAAAATTTTGGGTTTATCCCAATATATGAAAGGGGGTTATAGGGGATATGGTGTGTACCCTCAGGTGTCTCCACAACTTCTGCTGCAACTTCAGAGGCATCTGTGATCACAGGGGCAGGATCTATCAGCTCTTCAGCAGGGGCTGCCTCTGCAAACACCTCAACAGGGGCAGATTCTGCAACTACTTCAGTGATAGCCTCTACAACTGGGGCAGCTTCGGCCACAACTTCTGCAACTACTTCACTGACAGCTTCTACAACTTCAGCAACTGCTTCTTGGACAGGGGCTTCTTCTGTAGGTACATCTTCACAGGCTGGAGCAGCAGGGGCTTCAGGAGCCGCAGTTTCAGCTGCAGGGGATGCCGTTTCAGCAATGGTTTCTGAAGGGGTAACTGTGGCTTCAGGTGTAGGCGCAATGGCTTCAGCTGCAGGTGCAACAGCTTCGGCTGTGGGAGCAACGGCTTCAGCTGCAGGGGTGGCTTCGACTGCTGGGACAGCGGCTTCTACTGTGGGGGCAATGGCTTCAGCTGCAGGAGCAACGGCTTCAACTGCAGGGGCAGCAGCTTCAACTGTGGGAGCAGCGGCTTCAACTGCAGGGGTGGCTTCGACTGTTGGGACAGCGGCTTCTACTGCGGGGGCAATGGCTTCAACTGCAGGGGTGGCTTCGACTGCTGGGACAGCGGCTTCTACTGCGGGGGCAATGGCTTCAACTGCAGGGGTGGCTTCGACTGCTGGGACAGCGGCTTCTACTGCGGGGGCAATGGCTTCAACTGCAGGGGTGGCTTCGACTGCTGGGACAGCGGCTTCTACTGCGGGGGCAATGGCTTCAACTGCAGGGGTGGCTTCGACTGCTGGGACAGCGGCTTCTACTGCGGGGGCAATGGCTTCAACTGCAGGGGTGGCTTCGACTGCTGGGACAGCGGCTTCTACTGCGGGGGCAATGGCTTCAACTGCAGGGGTGGCTTCGACTGCTGGGACAGCGGCTTCTACTGCGGGGGCAATGGCTTCAACTGCAGGGGTGGCTTCGACTGCTGGGACAGCGGCTTCTACTGCGGGGGCAATGGCTTCAACTGCAGGGGTGGCTTCGACTGCTGGGACAGCGGCTTCTACTGCGGGGGCAATGGCTTCAACTGCAGGGGTGGCTTCGACTGCTGGGACAGCGGCTTCAACTGCGGGGGCAACATCTTTAGCTGCAGAAGCAACGGCTTCACCTGTGGGGGCAGTGGCTTCAACTGTGGGGGAAGCGGCTTCGACTGCAGGGGCAATGGCTTCAGCTATGGGAGCAGTGGCTTCAACTGCAGTGGCAGTTACAACTGGTTCAGGTGCAGGGGCAGCAACAGATGCAGCTTCTGTAGAGGCAGCAGCAACTGAAGCTGCAACCTCTTTCTTGGGGAATTCCACATATGATCTGTGCTGGACAAGTTTTTCTAAATCGAAGTACGTTTTTGATGCTGCTTTTTCTAGGATGGAGGGGGAAGGAGGGCACAAATAGAAATGTAATGATTTGCTTCATCATGTGACATTATCAGGCTGAATGGAGACCGCTAAATTCATCATACAGCAAAATAACTTACCCAGTTTCTTCAACAATTAGGTGCAGATGATATAGCCTGACTTATGTACATCACATTTGAACTATGGCTAATTAAAAAATGTATCTGATAGGAAAAGTAACCTAAACATTTCACATTCAGTAAACCACATTTTGATAAATATTATATATATACACATACATACACACATACAGTGGGGAAAAAATTTATTTGATCCTCTGCTGGGCTTCAACTGCAGGGGTGGCTTCGACTGCTGGGACAGCGGCTTCTACTGCGGGGGCAATGGCTTCAACTGCAGGGGTGGCTTCGACTGCTGGGACAGCGGCTTCTACTGCGGGGGCAATGGCTTCAACTGCAGGGGTGGCTTCGACTGCTGGGACAGCGGCTTCTACTGCGGGGGAAATGGCTTCAACTGCAGGGGTGGCTTCGACTTCTGGGACAGCGGCTTCTACTGCGGGGGCAATGGCTTCAACTGCAGGGGTGGCTTCGACTGCTGGGACAGCGGCTTCTACTGTGGGGGCAATGGCTTCAACTGCAGGGGGGGCTTCGACTGCTGGGACAGCGGCTTCTACTGCGGGGGCAATGGCTTCAACTGCAGGGGTGGCTTCGACTGCTGGGACAACGGCTTCTACTGCGGGGGTGGCTTCGACTGCTGGGACAGCGGCTTCTACTGCGGGGGCAATGGCTTCAACTGCAGGGGTGGCTTCGACTGCTGGGACAGCGGCTTCAACTGCGGGGGCAACATCTTTAGCTGCAGAAGCAACGGCTTCACCTGTGGGGGCAGTGGCTTCAACTGTGGGGGAAGCGGCTTCGACTGCAGGGGCAATGGCTTCAGCTATGGGAGCAGTGGCTTCAACTGCAGTGGCAGTTACAACTGGTTCAGGTGCAGGGGCAGCAACAGATGCAGCTTCTGTAGAGGCAGCAGCAACTGAAGCTGCAACCTCTTTCTTGGGGAATTCCACATATGATCTGTGCTGGACAAGTTTTTCTAAATCGAAGTACGTTTTTGATGCTGCTTTTTCTAGGATGGAGGGGGAAGGAGGGCACAAATAGAAATGTAATGATTTGCTTCATCATGTGACATTATCAGGCTGAATGGAGACCGCTAAATTCATCATACAGCAAAATAACTTACCCAGTTTCTTCAACAATTAGGTGCAGATGATATAGCCTGACTTATGTACATCACATTTGAACTATGGCTAATTAAAAAATGTATCTGATAGGAAAAGTAACCTAAACATTTCACATTCAGTAAACCACATTTTGATAAATATTATATATATACACATACATACACACATACAGTGGGGAAAAAATTTATTTGATCCTCTGCTGATTTTGTAAGTTTGCTCGCTTACAAAGAAATGAAGGGTCTGTAATTTTTATGGTAGGTTTATTTTAACGGATAGACACAGAATATCAACCCAAAAATCCAGAAAAAAACATTATATAAAGATTATTCTAGAATTACTAAAGCTAAAAGGCTACATATTCTCATATTACAATTATTTTAAAGTAGCGACATGTAACTGTCCTGAATCAGATGACAACTGTTCACACTATATATTTGAATTTGTGGTCAAACATGATCAAACTGTGGTACCAGCACATAATCATCATGATTATTATTAAGACTAATAATACATATTATTATTAATATTATTTATTTATTTATTTATAATGTTCAGCACAAAACATGTTTTGTTCAGCTTTTATTTTCAACAAGAAGTCACTTGTTGGATTATTGGCTTCACCAGATTCTATTGAATGAACAGAGGGAGTGGCTTCATGAACGCATTCATGCAGTGCATTCTTTAACTCCAAATGTCAGGGTGACATATATAAGTAGTTAGGACATCCACATATAGCACTAAGCATATCTGCCGGTACAACAACATGACAAGCCCTTTCTCAAGCCCTCTGCCACCTCTAACCTCAAAGGAACATAGAACAGTAACAATTATGGATCACAGGTCATTACGTTATCTTCAAGAACTCCATGTGACCAGTTTTACTTGTTTAAAAATGCCCACAGAGAATACAACAGAATTCTCTTTATATTATAATCAACATTCCATCTTTGTGTCTTTATTAACAATACAGACGTGGGCCTGTTTCATGTAATATAACATTTATTTCTTACTTAAAGTTACTTTTTTTTTTTTATCGCAATGCTCACACTCAACAAACTAATTGAAGTTGCATAGAACATTCTTCAGCAGACCTATGCTAATTTCTATTAAACCACTGTCAAACCCATTTATTTTCTGGTGTCAGTTCAAGCCTCTATAAATCTAATCGTTTATGTACTGAAAATGCAATATATACAAAATGATTGTGACATAAATAGATTTTTTTTTTTTTTACCTTTGTTGGACTTTTTGGACTTCTTGCTGTCCCCAGATTTGGAGCTGAAAGCTACAGCAGGAGCTCTTCTGATGGAACTCAAGCCCTCCGTCTGCAGACACTAACAACAAGAGACACACAAAAACAACACAGATTTTTTTTTTAAACGCAGCAAATCCCGATGAATAATCACAACCACCATTGTGCAGTTATATTTACACCACTGAACGCTGTTTGCTGTGGTCTCAAAAAAAAATGTACCTGCAAAAAGTACATAGTGTTCTCATGGAAAGTCTGCGAGTTGACAAACACTTTCAGTTTTTCCAGTGGATATTCAAACAAATAATTTTCGGCGATTTTAGGAACACTTTATAAAAATAAAAACATAGGTAAAAAATTAAAAACATAAAAAAATAAAAAAGAGAAGAAGAAAAAAACACTAACATTTTTTTTTTTGAAACGCACCATTTTAGATGCAGATGCATAAAATCTGATCCACGTTGGGTAAATGCACTTATTAAATACCAGGAATATTTTCATGTAAATAATAAGTCGTGCGTGTAAATTCAGCACAAAGAAGGGATTCATGCGTCGAGTCTGGGTGGATTAAATGCTTCAGTGCTTTAACATTCGAGCAGCGTTAGCTTGTGTTCACAATAGGACTCTGACTGCCCAATTTCACACGTTTAAATAATACGAGCTAGAATATATATAAATGCACTATAATATGCATGCATATTTCTTAACAAATGTCGAAACAACGGTGGATTACCCTGAGAGATCCGAGTCGTCCTACCCTGAGCAAAGAGGCTGCCATCTTTACCGCAGAAACCCTATGAAGAAAAAACAGCTGCATGAATCAATGTGCATAAAGTGTGATCGTACATATTTAACATCGTCAATTTAAAGTTCGTGCAGCTACTGTTTAGAAAATTGTTACTTCATAATTTGCACGAAATCAGATCTGTTCTGTATTACTATTATTATTATATATACAGCACATAGCACAGATATAGAAAATGCAATAGCTCACATTGACAGTGATCAGTGTTTGTTATGCACATCATTTACAATATCCAACAAGAAAAAGGAAAATGACCTAGATGAGATGTGTTGTGTGTTTTGTGCCACTGCATCCTATACAGTTACCTGACTGTGACAAATCTTTAAATCACAGCTCTACTTTGAGGAAGTCTTCACAAACAGCAGCTACTAAACTCATGAAAGATCGTAGCAAAGTAAAAAGAAGTGTTGCATGTAATGTTACTGAAGCGCACGCCCTTGCATAAAGCACACGCCCCCTCCTGATAATGTCCGATACATCGAGGTGTTATTGTTTTTACCTTGTTTTACATTGTTTTACATTGTAAGTTATCAAGTTAAATAGAATACTAATACATCTTTGTAATATCACTGAAGCGTTATTGGTAGCGAAAGTGTGTCAATAGCATCAGGTCTTCTTCGGTACACTCTTTATGGCGATCCCTGACTAGGTGAGGTAGCTGTATTTGAGACTGAAGCATTGTATGGCAAGCCGTTTTGACTTTTATTCATTCTCAGGATATGAATTCTTGATATCAACAATTACATTTTTACTAGTTAAAATGTTCATTCTTGATATCAGGAATTAGATTTCTACTAGTAACAAATGCTATTTTTGATATCAGCAACTACATTTCCACTAGTGACAATGTTCATTTCTGATATCGTAAAATGTATTTCTGATATCAACAATTGGGAGGGTAATTTCTGATATCTAAAATGGCTTTCTTACTAGTAACAATCACATTCATGATATCAGAAATGAACATTGTCACTAGTGACAATTAAATTGTTGATATCAAGAATAGACGTCTGTACTAGTAACCACGTGATTTCTGATATCAAAAATAAAGGTTTTTACTAGTAAGAATTGTATTTCTGATATGTGAAATTGGAATTTCAACTAGTAAGAAATCAGTTCTTGATATCAACAATTGATTTTGAATGGCAGCCTATGGTGACATTTAACTAGTGAAAATACAATTACAGATATCAAGAATTATAGTTTTTACTAGTTGAAAAGTAATTGTTGATATCAAGAATTAACATTGTTACTAGTGGAAATGTAGTTGCTGATATCAAAAATAGCATTTGTTACTAGTAGAAATCTAATTCCTGATATCAAGAATGAACATTTTAACTAGTAAAAATGTAATTGTTGATATCAAGAATTCATATCCTGAGAATGAATAAAAGTCAAAACGGCTTGCCATAGCATTGGTGTGTTTGACGTTGATATTAGACAGATATTTATTGAAAAACTTCAATAAATTCTTAGTGGATGAGTATAATTGTATACAAAAGGGCTTATCTGAAAAGCATTTAAACGTAGACCTGAACACACATCGCAGTTTATCTGTTTTAGTCGTCCTCTGTGTGTTGAAACGCATAAAGTCTCTAGCAGCGCCGAGGCCAGCTAGGGACCGTCTACAAAGTACACGGAAAGGATAAAACGATGAATGTTTTCCCACCGGGATGTTTTTTACAATTAACACAACAAGAGCAATTTGTGCACCAAGCTCTTTGAAAGATATAAAGACAAACACTTATAACGCTCACTTGAATTTAAATAAGAAATATTGTAAACAAGATATGTGATAGTGGTTATACTATTAATACATATATTAAACCAATAAATAAATGAATACACTCTTCTGTATTAACCTCATGTCTTTGTACGAACATTTCTATATTTGTTTTAGTCACAGAACTATAACAGAAAACAGGGTATTGAAATTGAACAATTAAGACAAAGCTGGCAAAGAGTGTTGTTTTGCAGTTAAGTTTTTAATACACAACTTCAATGGGTGAGTCTTGTTACAGATTAGACAAACATTTTGATGGGGGTTTAAGCCACAAAACGGTAATAGAACACATACTATAGAAAGTTAAACCAATACATAGTTTAAAATAAATACAATCTTCTACCTCAGTTTCAAAGGCTGTGTCTTGCTACAGACTTCTTAAAGAACATTTTGCAGTTGCTTTCGTTGTCAAAAGAGATCAGAAGTCATGTTATTGACACTCAAAATTCACTTGCGAAACCTTCCAAAGAGTCACCAGTATTACTGACCCCTAGAGGAAGATACTGCAGTAGTTTTGACTTGAGTTTTGAATTCAAACCTTTAAAATTCATTTAAAATCAATACAGTCTTCTATTTCAACTTCAAAAGGTGTGTCTTGTTACTGGTTTCTAGAAGAATATTTTAATGTTGGTTTTAGTCAGAGAAATATGAGAGAAAACATTCAACTGAAACTGCATAGCCAAGTAAACGGTTTATTAAGCTGATCAATAAATGCATCAATTAGTTCTATTATCGAGCTCATTTTCAAAGGGTCCATTTGGTTTGGTTTGTATGTTTGTTTTAAAAAAAGAACACTTTAATGTTTTGTAAGAGGGATCGCACAAAATGCATGTAATTTTTTTAGTACGATATTTTGCATCAACGATGTTTACATATAGTCCACAAGACAAAATAATAGCTCAATTATGCTAGAAGCTTCAGAAGAAACCCAGATGTTTCCCAGAAGACACAATTAGTACAGTTTACCCAGAGTCTGTGAGACCTGCACTGTAAACAAAAATTCTGTAGTTTTTACAAAATAAATTTGGCAGCTGTGGTTGCCAGAATAATTTTGTAAAAAATACAGGAAAACTGTAAACACATTTACGGCCAAAAACTGTAAATGTTACCGCTCAATCCTTACATTTCAATAGCTTTTGCTGTGTTGCAGTTTCGCAAATAAAACCAGCATGTAAATGTTGTTCCATGAACCAGTAACACGACACAACCCTTAGAATTGGGACAGAAGAGCGTATTTATTAGAAATGAATAGATGTATTTGTTGCCATTTCAATATCGTGCGTTGTGTTATAGTTCTGTGCATGAGACCAGCATGTAAATGTTGTTCTGTGAATCAGTAACAAGACAAACTCTTTAAAGTTTACTACATGTCAGACTTTGTGTATTTTTTATTTATTTATTCACATTTCTTAAAGGGGTCATATGATGCTTTTTTAAAGATCATTATTTTGTGTATTTGGTGTAACTGAATATGTTGACATGCTTTAATGTTCAAAAAACACATTATTTTTCAAATACTGTACATTATTGTAGGTCCTCTATGCCCCGCCTCTCTCAAACGCTTCATTTTCTACAAAGTCCCTCCTTCCGACAAGCGCAGTCTGCTCTGATTGGCCAGCTGACCCAGTGCATTGTGATTGGCCGAACACCGCAAGCACTCGTCGGAAATATAACGCCCCATACCATAAGCGCGAGCTTCATCTTTCAAAATAAATGTAAAGACAGAGCCTGAAAGGGGAACAGAGTCTCGTGACAGACACAGTGATGAATATGTGTTTGCAGTACACAAGCCACGGTTAAGACAGCTGACTCCACTGTGATGTGTCTCGCTCGCGCTCTCTCTCTCTCTCTCTCGCGCGCCGCGCACGCTCGCCACACACACACAATGCGCAAAACTCCGCATTTGAACAGTCAATAGCAAATACTTAAACTAATAACAAAACAGTAGCTGATTCAGAAGAGCCAGATTGTCAGGGTTCCTCAAATCTTGCCCTGGAGGGCCAATGCGCTGCAGAGTTTAGCTCCAACCCTGATCAAACTCACCTACCTGTGATTTTCTAATGATCCTGAAGACATTGATTAGCATGCTCAGGTGTGTTTGATTAGGGTTAGAGCTAAACTCTGCGGGAAAGAGGATCTCGTGGGCCAGATTTGAGGATCCCTGATTTAGATGGAATAATTGTGTTTTTTGCTCTTCGTTTTGCACTTTGCAGACGGTCCCTATCCTGCACTTTTACATTATAAGGTCTATCTGTTACAATACCTTAAATCAGATTAAAACAAATAAAACACATTGTGTGTTCTTTTCTACATTTGAAAAAAATTATAACACATTATTTTTCTGGTCATTGTGCTAAATCGTTAAAGAACTATTGAAGATTTCCGAGGAAGAGTACATTTATAGGAAATTAATTGATGTATTTGTTCACATTTTAATATCATGTGTTGTCTTATATCTGTGAATAAAACCAACATCTACATGTTTGTTTAGGGACCACTCACAAGACACACCCTTTGAAGTTAAGATAGAAGGGCGTATTTACTTTACATTGATTGATGTATTCGTTGACATTTCAATATCACGTGCTGTGCTATAGTTTTGTGAATAAAACCAACATTTAAATGTTCGTAAATGAACCAATAACAAGACACACCCTTTGAAATCGAGATGGAATACTGTATGTTTTAAAAATTAATGTGTTAACAGATTCAAATTTAATTCAGTAGCGTGCATCCTGATTTACATATGATAGTAAAAAATGACTGTAAATATTGTTCTTTGAACAAGTAACAAGACACACCTCTTGAAGTTTAGATATCAAACTGTGTGCATTCTAAATTAAGTTATTTAAACTTCTGAATGTCAAACTTGGTCAAAACAAGTGCAATATCGTCCTCTAGGGGGCAGTAAACTGCACAATCTTTGTGATGCTTTGCAAGCTTTTTCTCAATTGTTCCATTTCAATAACTTTTGTTGTGCTATAGTTCTGTGAATAAAACCAACATCTAAATGTTCTTGTATGAACCAGTAATAAAACGCAGCCCATAGATTATAGGGTCTGACAAATGTCAAACCTCAAACGTCGAACCAACTTTATATCGGTAGTCATCACTAAGTGATTAAACTACATGATTTTCATAAACTGTTACCTGGGATTTTGCACATATCAGTACTGTACTGCAAGTTCTCAAGTCCATTTGCATCATCATATTGCACTGTAGTTTCTATACTTTACTCTTCCCGTTCTGTTAGCTTAATGTTTAATTTAATTCAATTTAATTCAGTTTTTTCTTCTGTCCTCTGGAGCCTGTAGAAGCTGCATTTAATTGCCTATAATTATTGCTGCTTGCTTTATTGTTGTACCTTTGCTTAATACACTTTGACTTGAAATGTACCGCAAACTATTTGTGATAAATACACATTTTGGTATGCTGATTATGAAGATATAAAACACCAGTTTTATCTTGTCTTTTTGGTTGAATTCAAATTTGGCTGAAATTCAAATTGGTTGAATTCATAAAAGTAAAATGCCATAAAACATTTAGAAATGCTTTATTTTGACTTCGTGATTTTATTATGATTATGTTTTAAGAATCTATACATAAATGAATCAGGTGATAACAGCTGTGCTGATATCAGTACTGCAGGTTGATTGTGTTATTATTAAACATCAAAAATCTTTATATTAAACAGATCAGAGGACTTCAGCATTGATATTTTAGCATTAGCATATTTGATCATCTCTCAATATTGTCTATTTGCACCTTGTACTTGTTTTTTATTTTATTTTTATACTTGGCAAAAAAAGACAAAAGTTTGCTTTTCACATTTTTCTGATAGAGAGCCG